TCATATACAAGCACCTGACTAGAGCTTTGGCAGGATATGATTTTGAAATCATGGATCACAAATCTTATTTCTTGTTCATGGAAAAGGGTTCTGCTTCTGTTATTTGGAAATCTTTAGAAGGCAGATTTTAGGGTGCAAGGCCTTGGCCTGCACAGGTGGTGTCTGTGTGGTGGAGGCTGACTCCTGTCCTTTTCCCTCCTGTAGAAGAATTGAAAAATAGGCTGACTTTGTCTTTAACACTATTTCTGTGGCTGTAAGGCATTTTTATGGGAAATTTTATGGTATAAATGGATATACAGACAGACAAAAGGATACAATGGTGATTTTTGTTGTTGATGAACTCATGAGATTTTGAAATCTGCCTGGGTTTCCTGTGTAAGAATTCTCTAATGATGACTTAAAATTTCTCTTTGGCTCCATGATCTGTGGCAGCCTTAAAGAACAAAGTTCTTTGCCCAAAAGAGCAAAGCACAGACTTTTTCCCCCCCATTTGTCACAAGAGCAAGCCATGAACTGAAAAAGAGCAATTTTGCATTACAAGAGAGCCACTAAAAGATGCTCTTTCTCTTGAAAGATCAAAGAGGTGTGCGGGTTAGTGAGGGAGAGAATAATGCCAGGTTTTATCCAACACTGCAATTCTCTTTATAGAAATTATTTTTATATATTTTTTAAGAAAACACAGCAAAGCTTGCTGCACTCCCAACAGTTCTATCAAGGGTTGGATTAGCCCTAACAGCCCTGTTTCCACAGGCACCAAAAAAGGCTAAAGAGTGTTTTATGAGTTCCCACTGAAATGTTAACGTCATGTATCTGGAAATTTCAGATATAAACACTTTTCAAAGACAGCACCAAAGCCATCATGGCTTGATTGCCATAACTGGTATGGAACAGAACTCAGAACACCCAGGGGCTCAAGCCAGAGGGATTTGTACATAAGTGCTTGCATCTGTGGGGTGCCTGTGTAAATTTAGGATTTTGCCCACGCATGTGCTGTCTGAAACATTTTAGATATCTAAAATTGTTCCAGCCTTGCTGCTTAAAAGGCCACAAACACTTTAGCAATGTGCACAATATAAAGCTTCATATTGTAAAGGGAGAGTGGCTGCACTTCACTAAATTTGCTGTAACCTTGTACATTTTGCCGCGCACTGGAGCTTCCTGATTAGCAAAAATGAGGTAGCTTTCAGGAGGAAAATGCAGAACGGATCTCAAATGTGCTTCTGAAGTCACTGCACTTGGTCAGAGTGAAAAATCTAATTTTGATGTGTATTGATATGCTTCAGTTGTCATGGAGATCAGCAGGATAGGGAACGTCCAGTGCCCAAGGCCACTCAGCTTTTGGAATTAGCCACGGATTTGGGTGCAGGATCTTTTATCACAGCAGCTTGCTTAGATCCTGGGAAAAATAATGGGTTTGGAGGATCAGAAAACATTTCAGAAGTTTCAAATTGAGCACTTGTAGTATTTTTGGGGTCCCCAGCATGAAGGAGGAATTGAGAATCTCACTCCATGTTCTTAGAAGGCTAATTTATTATTTTATGTACTTATATTATATTAAAAATGCTATACTAAACTATACTAAAGAATAGAGAAAGGATACAGAGAGAAGGCTTAACAAGATACTAAAGCAAAACTTGTGACCTCTTCCAGAGTCCCAACACAGCTGGCTGTGATTGGCCATTAAGTAAAAACAATTCACATGTTGGATAAACAATCTCCAACGACATTCCAAAGCAGCAAAACAAGGAGAAGCAATAAGATAATTATTGTTTTCATTTTTCTCTGAGGCTTCTCAGCTTGCCAGGAGAAGAAATCCTGGCAAAGGGATTTTTCCAGAAAATATGGCAGTGACAAGAGTTAAGTTGGGACTATCCAAAGCAGACCATTCTGGCTGTTTGTCCTTTTCCTCCTGCATTGCTCATGTCTGAGTTTGCTGGTTTGAGTGCTCTGCTAGACTGAAAGGGATAGATCTGAATTTTTCTTTGTCCCCAAATCAGTTTTCACCTCTGATCCTTTGAATCAGTTACTTAATGTAGAGGTGAAGGTGGAGCTGAGGCAGCTGGTCATGCATCAGTTAATGTGAGGCTGCAGGAAATGGGGAATAATTCTGACATCTCTGATCCTGAACATGCTTTCAATTTATACCAAGGCTCAATGCCCACCAGCAACCATGGTCTTCCACTTAGTTTTTCCCACCATTCACACTTTTGCCTCTATATATGAGGACAACAGGAATTTACTTTCCCCTCGGTGTCTCTGTTTCTCCTTGCCATTGATTTCTTGTGTCTCACTTCAGCAGCTGGCATTGTTTCACATCCAGTAGGATTAGTTTTACATCTGGGGAATTTTTAGTCTGTACTCCAGGCAAGTACACAGCCTGAGGTAGTGAGGGGACAAGGAAGATGGTGCTGTCCCAATGCAGAAGGTTTTTTGATCTGGAAAGACAAATTTCTTGTGAGGATCTTGTGACTAACACTGTGTGTCCAAGGAGCTGTGTGGTGCAGAGCAGGCAATCAGTTTTCTAAGAACAAACTCTGCCTGCCTTGGAGAGTGACAGAACATCCTCAAGGGCACCAGGCTATAGAGGCTTAATACAGAGTGAAATCTCAATGAAAGTTGTTGAAACAAATGCAAACTAGCTCAAGATAGGACCAATCCAAAGCCATGTGTAAGGTTCATATCAGAGTCTTAGTCCCACCTGTATCATTACTGAGGGATTTCCAAGCTGTAATTCCTCTTTATATTCCAATGAAAACATTGGAGTTGTTCAGCTGATTAAGTGTCTGCAAGCTCAGGTTTTTAACAAAGGCAGTGCTCTCTTTTTTCATGAAGGAGAGTTGCAGAGATGAGTTGTACCGTGAATCTGCAGGGATATTGTAGAACATGTAAGGCAGGTGAGTCAAAACAGTGTAACTGAAGCTTCAGAGCTGCAAATTGTACAAACCCAGTGTAGTTAAACTGATGCTGAGCTCTGCCAGCTGACAGGAACCAAAACCTGTCTGTAATGCTTGAAAATCCACTTCTTGTGTCAGCCTGGGACAACAAACTCTCTGTGGGCTTTGCTCATTTGATTTCTTTCAAGGACAATGAGCTAAATCCCATTCTCAGGTATTTATGCCTGGATTTGGATATGCACATTCTTCTTTTGAAACAGTAAAGTATTCAAAATGTTAATTTATGCAAGAATCTCATTTGAGATGGTACATTTATCTCATTGAACATCCTATTTTCTGCTGCACCTCAGTGATGTTACTGCACCTCCATCAGAATTATTCCACAGTGCACGACTTGGATCTGTGCTCTCCACTCAGAGACAATAACACAGGTTGGGAAAACAGGAGCTCCAGAATTATACAGGGCAAGGATCAGGACACAGAACCTTGAAGCTACAGTTGTTTTTGTTGGAAGAATTCTGCCTTCTGCTATCAGCTTTATTCTCTAGAGCACAGGCAAATATTTGGCTTAGTCTCTTCATTATTTAACTCCAAGTATAGCAATGGTGTTCTCTTTCTTTTTATGTCCACTCTGCAGAAGTTAGAAAAGGCAAGAATGAGCACTGTAGATAGGATTTATGGCTCTCTTTGACCATTCTGCTTCACCTTCAAGCCTCAGATCTACTCAAGAGTCAGATTTACTGGACAAAAAGTTCCAGTCCAAATTCACATTTATTAAACATTTGTTTTTAGCCACAGCATTAATCTGCAAGCAGCTTCAGCTTCTTATTTCGGTGGCATTAGAAAGGAAAAGTAGAACTCTAGGTAACAAGACAAGACTAAGAACTTGGAACTTGTTTTCCATTAAAGGCTAGACACAGTTTTCTTAATTTTTTAGGGGTTTTTTTCCCCATGAAGGACACAATATTTTGTACTTTTAGCAAGACAGCAGGGCATCTACCTGGTTTAATAAATCAATCCTGCTGGGCTCCTTCCACAGTCAGTAGAGATCTACCCAGTCCAAAGACTAAAATCCTTTAGTACAACTTATTTCAGTTTAAACAACAAGTTCAAAATAGGTCAGGTAAATCTCACTTTATGGCCTGTTTCTCACAAGCTGGCATGGGCTGACAAGGGAAAAGGCGCACAGCTAAAAATTAGGGGAGATACAACTAAAACACAGCTTTTCTGAGGAGCACCTGGGCTTACTCTGTGTCTGGATGAGAGGATGAATGGTTCTGCCTGCACACAGTGGGTCGGCCACTGCAGAGATGGAATTGTAGAATCTGTTTGTTGCTTACAGAGTAAATTCTGTTTTCCAAACTGCTCCATCTGATCTGTAAGGGCGTGGGGTTTGTAAATTTAGTTGGTGTTTCAAAAGGAAACAAGTGCAGCTCCAGGGAATCCTCAGCTCCTAAGCAGCAAGGAGAAGATGTCTCCTAGCCTAGAGAAGTACCAGCTGAGGGGAAGAGGGTGTGTGATATAAATAATATATTAGAAAAACCTACTTTTCAATTTTCTCCTCTCTCTGCCATACAATCTCTCTGCTTCCACTTTGGTTAACTTTCTACTGTATTTTCAATGCTTTATTTCGTTGATTTATTTCTGCATTCCTTCTCCTGCTACTGCACAGCTGCCAATCCTACTCATGGCAAGATTACATAGAATTACTTGAGCAGGGTGCACAAAGATTCTCCAGGAGGAGCAGTTTAATTTGCATGAACCAAGGTCTACCTTTAGTGCATTTCCCAAAGGATTCCCCTTCAGCACATTCAGAGACAAGGCACAAACCTCATCATTCCCCGCGTGTTGGTAGCAACCTAAATTCAGAACCCTGACCATTTTCATGATGGATGTACTTGGATAATGCAGCATAACCTGGATCAGCATGCTCGTTTCCCTCCTCTTAAGCACCTCTGAGACATCTAGAATGGAATTACAACTCCTTTTTGTGTTCTCTCTCATTCGCATCGAGACGCCCAGGTGTTGGGCGGCCTTCAGCCACATCATCCATGGCTCATTTCACCCCGGGAGTGTTTAACTTTTTCTTTCCCCTTCCACCCCTAGCACCCTCCCTCTTCCTCCCAGATGCAGCTGCAGTCCCTGCCCAGGACACTTGCGGTGAGACTCAGCTTGTTTGCCTTTAGCTGTCTAAAGTCTCGTGCTCGATCTGAGCAGTCCAGTCGTCGTCTATGGTCACTCGGGGACACCAGGGCACCTCCGTCAGACAGAGCATCCCCTGTGCCTTAGATGTCTCTGTCACACAGGCCAGCTCAAGCCTGGAAGTCCCTGCTCTTTCCCTGAGTGAGTTCAAGGTGATAGTTCAGTTTGGAATCTGTCTTTGGCACGTAGAGTTAGATGTGACCAACTCCGTTCTCTGTGTGCCTACAGAGGTCTGAGGATCCTGCCCTGATTCGTGCAGTGTTTTCATAGCCATGCTCTCATTTTAATTCATTTTCTTATATTTGTCTATTTTTTTCTTATATTTGTTTATTTTTTCCTCATTCATGTTTGGTTTTCTTCTGGTTCCTGCCTCCTCTGTCTCTTCTCTCTTTCTCCCTTTCCTTCCACCAGCGTCTCTACTTTGAAAATAAATAAAGCTTGCAAAATAAAAGGGGAGGGGGAAAGGAAACAAAATGTCTATAAATTGTGTACTCTAAAGATATGGGACACTTAACACCATCTAAAATCAGAGAGGTGAATCTGTCAAAATTAGAAATGGCAGAAGATAAGTGCTAACAGCACTAAAATATTAAGGTCTTCCTAAGAAGTACTAGCATTGTTTTCCATCACAAACCTGTGTGCCAATGTCTCCTCACTGGGTGTGGAGCAGCAGTTAATCCATAGATAATATTTTCAAAATCACATCTGTTTTTTTCAATAATTCTAGTAAATACCAAGTGCTGTCACATTAGATCTCTTCACCAGGAAAAGCTGTAAAAAAAAATCAATCCCTGTCAAATGAAACAGGACATAAGCAGTAAAGGAAACATGGAGAGGAATTTATTTCTAGGTTGCCATGGCAACATTAAGTATATCATAGAAGACCACAAACCTCTACAACAACCCATGGCTAAGACTTTTCAAAGTGATTATTGATTTTTTAGATGTTTCCTTTTCAGGCTCTGTACCTTAATATGCCTCGTAAGTGCTTCTTTTCAACACAGGCTGAGCAGCCCTCTTGTGGTAAAAATTGGTCTGAGAAATGTGTTTCAGATCAAGTGATCAAAAAAATGAGTGGCACTCAAAATCCATAGTCACTTCTGAAAGCCTCAGTCACAATAAAATTGTGCTATCCCTTAAACCTCCTTGCTCATTTTTGATCAGTCTGAGTGGACAATTAATGCCCAACTCAACTCTGTGCAAAGCAGGTGGTGCAAAAATCTAGCACAAATTCTAGTGCAAAAGGAGCAGTCATTTTCATATTTACTTCCTCAGCAACAACCAAAAAATGAAATTTATTTTGTGAGTTGAAACACAGTTACTATATCCATTTGCTGGAGGTGTCCATGCCCCAAGACTGTGTTCTTTCCAGCTCTTATACTGTAACATTTAATAACAACACAGTTATCAGGCTTTAATTACCCAACAGAAAGTCAAGCATAACTCCAGGATGGGGATTGACTTAAAGGAGTTAAAAGTAGGGGGAAAATTATGTTTTCAATTCATCCTAGTTTAGAGTTCAGATTATGAATTCCATGAGTTGTGAACACAGATCTTAGACTGTGTAACAGAAACAGAGTTGGGTTTGTTTGAAGAAACTTAAATGTTTGCCTTGAAGGCAATTGCTTAAAAAATCAGCTTTTATTATCCTTGATATTAATGGAGATTTATCCTTTATTATCTTTTATATTAATTGAGATTTACTCAGGGTACTCAGTGGTGTTTGGTGTTCATCCCATCCTACAGTGGACATCTGAAACAGGTCAGATGTACCTGGCCAATAAATGTGTATTTCTCTCTCAGCTGTTTATTCTGATGATTCTCAGGGTCCTGAGGATGTCCATTTTGCTTGCACATCTGTACTGTAAACATCCAGCCTCTCCTGAGGTGAATCCCACCAAAACAACCACATGTTGAAAACATTAAACAAAAATTCTCCCCTTGAAAGTCGACAAGAAATCACTATTTTCAATTTTCATATTTTTTATCCCAGATTTAAAATCTCTTATGGGATCCCTCCAAATGCCTCCATGTTGAAGAGTGATTGATTTAAATGAGCCTCTCCTGGCTGGTTGGAAAGGAACTATTTTGTTCTCTGTTCCTAGAATCCAACATGCAGGGATCAAGGTCCTGCTCCACAGTGTATGAGCCTGCTGCTTTCATGAGCACTCTGTCTTAAAAAAACAAGTGGTACCTCCAAAATTACCAGCCAGACATTCAGATTCCATACTGAGCTCCCTCCCCATCACCACAGAAGATGGAAAAACAGCTTTGGTGTCCTTACTAGAACCTTTTGTTAAAGACAACAGATCCATACCACAACGAAAATGAGGATTAGACCTTAGATTGATCCCCATCCTACGAGTTTCTGTTACTCTCTGATTGTTCTTCATGAGCATGCAGTCTACTCTCATTTAATCTATTGTTCTGTGACCCCTGTACAAAACCAGACCGCGCAGGTCCTGTGTATTTCGGATGCGTTAGCGCTGCCCCCCTGCCCTCAGGGTGTTTGACTTTTGGTTTGTCCGTGAATCAGCACATCACAACGGCCAGCAACAGCCAGTGCACTTCAATTTTTATTTGATTTTTTGATTTCTGCTTCAGTCAAGCAGCTGGTTCGTGCTGTGAGTCCATCCTGTCGTGTCCGCTTTCCATCTTTGTGACGTGTCTCATGAAATGTGTTGAAAGTGACCTACCTTGGCCTGTTCACGATATGCTGAAAAAAATGCTAATCTTGTCATATTTAGCAGCTGCGTTCAGAAATGCTACTGTAAGCCTAAGAGGGCTAACCAGCACTCTTGCAAGATGTCAGAACTATCAACCATTACCCTGTAAGTGTACGCACTCCTGTGACATTACTGTGTGTGTATGACGCATGTTGCAGTTAAATGAGTGGATGAGAGCAGAGGGGAAGTAACCAGAGAGCAAAGCCTTCATTTAGTTCTTGTTGCATGTAGAATTTTTTTCTTTGTTCTTGTTCTGTGCTTTTGCCGATGCGCCACGATCGAGGGTTTTAAGGTTGTTTTATTATTTTTTCTTTTTTCTTTTTTTTTTTTTAATTATGGCTGATGCTATTGATGGTTTCGGGTAGTGTCTGTACAGAATTAATAGCTGCTCTTTATTGTACAGCAAAGAGGTGAGCACCTTCATACTGAGAGAAAATGTTTCACATGAAAAGTTTCCTAAAATAAACTGGGTGAGGTTGAGTCAATCAGACCCTCAGTGGGTATAAAACATCTTTTGTCCATTGAACTGAGTGAAGTTAACTTCATAAACACCCAGGGGTGAGGAAAGGCCAAAGTTGACCTCATATCAGAATGAATTGTGTCCATCAGAAGTTATAGAATCACTGATTTGGAAAGACCTGTAAGATAATCAAGTTCAGTCCAATATTGTCAAATATAATCAGATATAGAGTGAGGCATCCAGAAGAGTGAATAAAAGTCATTCAGCCAAGAGTTGTGTGAATTAATCACTACCCCATAGTCCATCTGACCCCTTGCTCTTTGCACAAGAAGCCCACAGGTTTTCACAGATTCATGGAATCATTAAGGTTGAAGAAGAGCTCCAAGGTTATCCTCTCTTTTTGTTTAGATGAGGTGCAATTTCAGACATCTGTAATATGTTTTCTGGTGATGTGTCTCCTGAATTTCACAACAGTTTTGTAAGTGTGATTCAACATTCTGTGAGGTGTCCTGGCACACAGACCCCAAACTCCAGGATTTTGCCAAAGAATATTTAGTAGTTATCTTCAACACCATTAAGGAAAAAAGGTTGGTTTGTAACTTAACTGCATCTATGGTTATGTTTTTAGTTAAGAAAAAAAATTAAAGTGAATTTTCTGTGTGATTTCATATATCTTTGAGGTATTTAAAAAATAGAACAATGGAGATGCTGGAAAATATTCAGTCAGCAGACTGGAACCAAGCAAAAGCAGATAGAAATAGAGAAGACAAAAAGGAGCAGCTCCATTTTCTCCACAGAGAGCAGTTGAAGACTAAGCACAGTTAGGTAAAACTAGGAGTTAGGTTTAGGAGGAGATAGTTTGAACTATAAAGTTCAGTGCCTAATGGACGTTCTAGTGCAGCACAGATGTCATGTTGGGCCTTTGCAGAGAACCAAATTTTACATTAAATGCAGTGTTTCTGAAAGATGGGAGACTGATAACTCTCTAAGGTGAAATCCTCTACATAGTCAAAGGCAAGAAGAGTTCAGCCCAAACAGGAGGTATTTAAACCTATGGTTTTTGTGTCTGTTGAAGAATGAAAGTCTTGGTAAGCTTCTCTGTTTTTCAAGTCCTAGGTCTGAAGATGTGGTTTATACATGGGAAAATTAAAAATCTGGAATCATTCAGGTGTTATCTCAGGTGTTTTGGAAGTGATGCTGCAGACCTAGTTAACTTCCGGAAAAGATCTGTCAGGGAGATTACTGAGGTTCCTGAAAGTCACGTTAATATGTTCAGCATTTTGTGATAAAATAGATCCTTCAGTTTATTAAACATGAGCTGTGTTGAGCATTTCATTATAATGACATCCTGTGCCTTCATGGTTTGCTCTTTATCCTTCAATCTGAAATATTGTCACGATTCTTTTTTTGCACAGATTTATCACAGGGATGATGAATGAACCTTTGGCCAGAGAAATTGGGTTCCTCTAATCTAAACCTCACAAATCTACAGGGCTGAAATTTTTGTGACAAACTCAGTCCAGGGTCCCTTTGAGGTCAATGGATGGATGTAGGATATGATAAGAATTTCCTTAGGGGCAGAAGATTTGTCCTTTTGTGTCAGTTATTCTTGCTCTTCATTGACAATAAAGGGAATTTAAGTCTGCATTTAATTTAACTAAAAATAGATGCCATCATTGCAGATATGTCACAGCATTAAGTTAATCAATATATACATAAATAGATGTCCTCAATACCCACAGGGTTTACAACAAGGGTCACCTCTTGTTCAAAAGACATCTGTAGCACACAAGAATTATGTTTTAAACTGTGTTTTTCTCTGCATTGACTTTAGAGATAATTTTAAAATAATTTCATTATCAATATCTACGCTATGTATTTCCAATCCTCGGTGAGGTGAATGTTGCTTTTCAGGACTACACATCTTGATGTCTTCATTGCAGAAGTTCATATTTGATGAAAGTATTTCACTTAGGACAGCTTTTAAACTGGGCAATTCTCTTACTTTAGAAATGCAGGACTAAATGGCAAAACAACAATATGATCTTCCTTCAAAGTCTATGATTTGGAGATTTTTGTTTCATTTTTTCCTCTCAAAAAGGTTTAGAGGTTGAGACTTCAGCAGTCTCCTTAATAAATGTGGATGTGCAATGGAAATATAAAAGCATGATTCTTTCAAATACTGGTCAGATTAGAGAATGTTCTTATTTAGGGGTACTTTTAGCATAAAGTTCTAATTTCATTATTCCATAGAGGAGTGAGGGAGAACAGAGGACACCATTATTTGTTTGTACTAACACTTAATGGAAAGTCCACATTCATAGCCATGCTACTGGAGGAAGTCTCATTTCTGAAATGATTTTAAGGGAAATAACCTCCTGGGAAAGAGAATGTCAGCCTCAAGAAAAGCTTATATTCAAATTGCCTTTTTTTAAAGTAACCTTAAGACTTCCCTCTCCCTGTGGGAATGTGAACAAGGCTTTTGCTACACCTTTTGCAGAACATTATCTTCCAAACAGCCACTTGAACAATTATTGTCCTCAGAACTTCTTGATCCACCCCCTCCAAGTTTCTTGTCTGTCTGAAAGACTGGGGGAAGAAAAGAGGAGTAGTGTCTTTGGCTGTTACACACCTGAGAATTCCACTGTATCCTTTAAGACTTTCATTCCCTGTTCCATATAAACTTATACATCTCACAGGACCTGCTTTAAGTCTTCTCTCTTCCCAATGTTCCATACAAACTTATACATCTCACAGGACCTGCTTTAAGTCTTCTCTCTTCCCAATGTTCTTGAAAAAAAGCAAATTTTACAGGCATTAATATCTCTCAAGGTTTTTCTTATCGTTAAAATCTTGTTTACCTCTTCATTGATCTTAATAATCTATAAACTTCTGAATATGTTATTTAATACATTTTCTTCCTCACTTTATTGACAATATTGAAGACAACACCTCAAATAAGTTGATGATGGCATTATATTTCCAGATCCTACAAACTAATTTTGTGACTAATCAGGTGTGATTAATGCCAAAAAACTGACAATAAAAAAAAACTTCCTCTGCATCTTCCCCTGAATTCATCTCCCAAGAGTGCACTGAGACAGAACATATTAATAGACAATTCTATTCTGACTTTTAGATCAAAACAACATTTATCCTTTTGTTGTTGTTGTCATTAAATCTGAATATAAATGATAGAAGAGATGGAGAGATGATATTTTTGTCCAGTTTATTACCTTTAAATTGTTTTTTTTTAATTTCATGACTACTTTAAGACACTTATATTCTTCACATCCCTTTTTTACAGTGATAACATTATTCTTTAGTCTTCTCCTCGAAGTTTCTGTTCCTTTTTATTAACTTGATTGTATGTCCATAGAGAAAAAGGACTAGAAAGGACTCCAAAAGCTCTTTACACTGGCTCACTCCTGTATAGATTACTTTTTTAGAGATTATCAAAGCTGGGCACTCTGAATGCTCTTCATCACCCTGTTCTGAGGTTGTTCCTCTCTTTTCAAAAGATTCTGGCCAATGTCTAATTTTATAGCCCACAAGAAGAGTTTTCTCTGTTTTGTGGGGTCTTCCAGCAAGGCCTGAGGTTTGGTGTCCATCAGATTTATGGCTCTTGTGTGTTTAGTGCAAGAGCTGGGATGAATTTATCCCCATTGGGGCCCAAATTCTGACTGAGACACCAGCACTGCACTCATGTCCCATTCCCAGATCACTGCTGGAGATAATTGTGCTCACAAAATTCTTGAAAGTGTGTTAATTAAATCTTCTGAAACAAACAAACACTCATTTTGGGTTATCACTGAGCATGAATTAGCAAATTCAAACCTGTCTGCAATGTACCAAATAGATAAAAGCAGAGGGGACGTTTGAATTTGAACAAATATGCAGCTCTTTGAAAAACCTTTACAGCTTTTTGCCTTCCTTTGTCCTCCATCTGCCTTCTTCACTTACCTGAACATAACCAATGTTATCCTCCCCCTCTGAACATAACCAATGTTATTCTCCCCCTCTGAAAATGTCCTGGAGGTTTTTTAGGTCACTTTGTTTGTAATAAAGCACTTGCTTTATTTTCAGAACATTTTCTTTCTCTTTGTTTTTGTTTGGTTTTTTTTGTTTTTTTGGTTTTTTTTTTGCTGCTCAATCAGACAGCGACACTCACCAAAACATGCACAAGTCTTTGCTGGCCCCTGCTTTGGGGGAATTTCACCAGTTAAGTGCCCACATGTAAAACATTCATTTCCAACCCTTTGGTTTATATCAGCTGAGCTTAATTTCCCTCTGAAACCTCTTTAATCTGAAGCAGTGAAGTAGTGAAACAGTGGAATTGCACTTAGGTTTCCAACAGTATAAACTGAGACCAAAATCAAACCTTCAGGAATAGTTGTGAGTACAAGAACATGCAGGGGGGTTACATTTTACTTGTGGCCGTTGGTTTTTTAGCTTTATTTGTGTGGTCGTTTTGGAGTTTTTTTGCTGTGCAGAAACATACTCACACACACACACACACAAGAATCAACAAAAAGTGATTTAAAACTCCACTGGGATTAAGCAATTGGGTGAGAGGTTTATAATTGTACCATAGCAGCAGTCTGAATCCCTTAGCAAGATTCTCCTCATTTTTAGGCATGGTAGGAGAAAATTCCTGCTTATAATAATGCAAATAAAAATAGCAGCAGTGAGCATTAAGCATAATTAACGTGCCATTACTGTAGCAGTGTGAGGAAGGGGGAGCAAACTGCAGTGTGTGTGCAAACAGTCTTTGGGAACAAACAGGAATGTTGCATATTTGTTTGTATAATTACGCGGTGTACGTATTTCCCAAAAGTCTGTCAGCAAAATATTTTCTGTGCTTCCTTCTTTAATTAAAGTGCAGGTTGCTAATTGCAAGGCTGCATTAAAGTTTATTTCCCTCTGTTGTGACAGGAGACTGGCTCGCTCCACCCTGCTGCTGATCCCTTTGTTTGGAATTCACTACACGGTGTTTGCCTTTTCTCCTGAGAACGTCAGTAAGAGGGAGAGGCTGGTGTTTGAATTGGGACTGGGATCCTTCCAGGTAATTACACACTGAATTCAGCTTTCCTTACAATCAAACCTCTGTTCTTTATAACTACTTTGCATGCACAGCTCTCAGAGTGTGTCTTTGCTCATTTATGTGTAGGTTTTGTATATCAGGATTTTGGGTTTGTTTGTTTGCTTGTTGTGCTTTTTTAACTCCAGCTATTTTCTATTGAATGTTTTATTAAAACAATATTATATTACATAAATGCTTTATTAAAACAATACTATATTACATTTATACTATATTATAACTATACTAAAGAGATACTAAAAGATACTAAAGAAAAATCCATGACTGTCTGAGCCAGCCAGGACACAGCTTAGACCCAATTGGCCAAGGAAACAAAACAATCCTCAACAGAATAAAATTGACAAATCCCTTCAGGTAAACAATCTTCCTAACACATTCCACATGTGCAAAAACAACAGGAGCAGCAAATAGAGATAAGAATTGTTTTCTCTTCTTCTCTCTGTGCTTCTCCAGGAAGAACCCTGGGGGAGAGAATTATGTCTCTCTGTTCAGAGGACATGAATACCACAATTTTCTGTCATTCCTTCAGGATTTGAATTACTTTTTTTTTCTCTCTCCCATTTCCCTAGGGTTTTGTTGTTGCTGTTCTCTACTGCTTCTTGAATGGGGAGGTAAGATTTTTAATATTAAATGTCCTTCACTTGTCATCTACATCCCATTTTCTTGTGGGAGTAACTGCTGTTCCAACTGTCCATTCTAACTCATCATCTACCATAATCCCTGATACTTTAGTCTGAATCTCACAATTCCCAGAAAAAAAAAAAAAAAAAAAAAAAAAAGAAGAAAAAAGGATTTGTGATGTCTTTATCAAACCAGAACATTGGCCTTACCAGAGATGATGGCTCAGATTGAGGCTTCCTGACAGGGGTAGGATATGGACAGGTCTCTCTTGAAATGTCATCCTAGGTACAGAATTTTGCACTGGTTTTGTTGAATTTTGCCCGTTTTTGCCAGCCCACTCTCCCAGCCTGTTCAGATCTCTCCAGGAGGTCTGACATGTCTCTGCCAACCCCAGTTTGGAGCCATCAGCCAAACTGGTGATGGTGCTTTCAATCTGAGATTCATCAGAAGTTGGTGAGGGCCTGGCACAGGTTACCAGAGCAGCTGTGGCTGCCCCTGGATCCCTGGAAGTGTCCAAGGCCAGGTTGGACAGGGCTTGGAGCAGCCTGGAGTATTGCATTTGCTGGGAAATGTCCTGATGAAGGCAGGAATGATAAATCTGACTCCATGTTCTCAGAAGGATAATTTATTACTTTATAATACTATATTGTATTAAAGAATACTAAACTATACTAAAAAAACCTGAAAAACCTGAAAGGATACTTTCAGAATGCTAAAAAGATAATAATGAAAACTCCTGACTCTTTCCAGAGTCCCAACACAGCTTGGCCCTGATTGGCCAAAGAGTGAAAACAACTCACAGCAGAATCCAATGAAACAATCACCTGTGGGTAAACAATCTCCAAACACATTCCACATGTGAACAAAACACAGGAGAAGCAAATGAGATAAGAATTGTTTTCCTTTTCTTTGAGGCTTCTCAGCTTACGAGGAGAAAAGTCCTGGGCGAAGGGATTTTTCCAGAGAATGTGAGTGCTACACTGGGGTAGTGGAAGGTGTCCCTGCACATAGCAGGGGGTGGAAGGAGATGACCTTTAAAGTCTCTTCCAACCCAAACCATTCCATGCTCTGTGTGGAACAGTGTGGGGTCCAATATCAATGCCTGGAGGACACCATTAGTGATAAAGTGCCAGGCTAAATAAACATTGTTCACCTCTCAGTGTGGTCTCCTTCCCCTCTTGAAGATCATCCACCCACCCTAAATCTTTCCAGCTTTCCTAGGAAAAGGCTGAGGAGAACAATGTCAAACCCTCCATTGAAGGCTGAGTTTTCTTGGGCACCACCCAACTGGTGCCAGCTTCTCTCCTGAGCCCTGCCACCTTCCCCCCTTCACACACACAGCCCAAGGGTGTCAGATGCCCAGAGCCACCCCCCAGACACCACTTGGGTGCCTTGCAAGCCTCAGACTCCTCTCAGCACATGGCAACTGCTGCTGGCCACATCCGTGGTTTCCTCTGGTTCTCCTGTTCCAATCTACATTTTCCTGCCTGTTTATCTGACTGAATAGCTGAGGTAATTGTTTTCTGAATTGATGGAAAAGGGTTCTCTGCTCAATGTTGCCCTAAGAGGAACATGGAACACCTAGAGTTCATCCATGAACATCTAGAACCATGAACTCTAGAACATCCATGAACTCTGAGTGGAGGAGTTCTCTCCTCCTCTGCTACACATCTCTTGTGCAGCCCAACAGTAAAATCACCTTGTTTTCTTCTTTTCAAGGGGGCTGACTGCAGGTGTAGCCTGGCATTGCTGATCTCTGTACAAAGAGGTCTCAAACTCCTTAATCCAAGTGATTTCTTCTCAGATAAACCACAACAATGTCCAATCTTATCAAACAAACTTATGGGTTGTCTTTGCTCATAGTCAAGATCTCCTGAAGCCCCTTGGAAGGAGTGTGGGGGGTGGTTCTTAGCCAAACCAACACAACCAGGAACCAGGTTAATTAAAGCCATTTTCCCTCTCAAGATATCAGAAAGTGGTAATTAGTGGATGTCTTGTGCCTCCAGTAAATTTCCTACAGCACGAAAATCTTTGGAATATCACACTCTTCCAGATGCAAACACTATTCCCTTTTTACAGAGTTCTCTATCTAATTTTTAAATATCTATGTTTTAGATAACTTTAAACAAAATAGAAATTTGTAGGTCTTAGAAGGAGAATGTAAGTTTTCCAGTTGGATTTTTCCTCCCTGTAGTTTTTTGTCTATACAGTTGAAGCTGTTATTTAGCATTTTGACTTATCCATTTTGACAATATTAGTCCAAGGAAATCCAGCAATGTCTGTTACAGACAAGACAAACATCTTTGACACAGCAGCTCATTGGAGATTGGAAAAATATATTGGGAAAACATCTCTACATGTTTCCTTGTTCTTACCCTATTTCATTCAGAAATACAATACAGGAATGAGTAATCAAGTAAATGTTGGTCCAAGCTACTACAACCTCTCTTATATTAAATCTTTACTACTTTATATATTTATACACTTGTGCATCCCCCAGCAGTGTTGCCAGGAAACTGGTAATGAGTGAAAAGTAGAAAAGCTGTGGGATCATTTACTTATTGCCTAATTGAACTTCTGACCTTGGGTTGTTTTACTCTTGGTGATTTACTGTGGGTGCAAATAAAAAAATTACGTCTTAAGAAAAGGAGGGTTGCACAAATGTGCATTAATCCCAGAGCTGCTCTGCTTGGAGAGGATCTGAAAGCAAGAGGCAAAATTCTGTGTAAACATCCATCCATTAATGGCAGATGAGAGAAGCTGCCTCTGTGGACAGGGTGTTTCAGTATTATCCAGTATTTTTGATTGCTGTTTGCTTTGGCCCCTTGCTGTATCTTTGGTACTGGCCAATGATGAAAGCAGGCTATTTTTTCCTCCAGGTGGTGTTGATCAGGTCTTCCATGCACCTCTGAGCTGATCTTAAATTATCTGAAGTCAGACACAGAACCTGGGCTGGGCTGTAGTTCACCACTACATGCCCAGACTTCTTCCATCCATGGAAAAGTAATTTCAGATTTTGCTGAACTGAGGAGTTTAATAATAAATAATGGTTTACTAAACCTTAAAACTAGTTCTGTCGAATTGTGGGGTTTTTTCTAATCTTGATAATTTGTCAGCATGTCCTCGAGCGGCTAAGTACATAAAAAATGACCTTTTGAAGTTTCTCCCTAAAGGTGCAATCAGAAATAAAGAGAAAATGGAGGAGCTGGAAAGTCAACCGGTATTTTGCTGTGGATTTCAAACATCGCCATCCTTCTCTAGCGAGCAGCGGAGTGAACGGGGGGACACAACTCTCCATTCTGAGCAAGAGCAGCTCTCAGATTCGGATGTCCAGCATAAATGCAGAGAACCTGGCGACATGAGCAGCTGAGGAGAGCAAAGCAACCAACGAGCAAACCAAAAACCATCCCTTGAAAAAGAAAAAAATGAAATAATAGTTTTGGTGGTGGTGCAGGTCTCATTTCCTT